TAAGCTGGCATCGGGGTCAGAACCATCTGCTCTTCTTCGTCCTGGTCCATTGCAGTCACTAGTCCAAAGTCTCCAACCTTTACCACATCATCCATTGTAAAGAATATGTTGGAAGGCTGGAAAAATAAAGTGGAAAAAGTAGTGGGTATGTACTGACAACAGAAAATGAAGAGAATGAGTTTAATGACTTTTAAAGGACTACAGAAAATACACACACACATACACACACAAAACCCATCACATAGCTATTCTGAAGCATGTTTCTCTTCAAAGTGGGCTAATATAAAATAAAAACAACTGTTTGATGCCAGCTAAGTCCTATGCATCAAGAAAAGGGAAGGGTAGCAAAAGGTAACTAGCATTCATTGAGCACCTATTAAACTCTTAGAAACACCCTCACTTTACTATGTTATTGTTGTTATTATTAGGTACCATTGAGTCAGCCCTGACTCACAGCAACACTACATACCACAAAATGAAACACTGCCCAGTCCTGTGCCAGCCTCACGATCCTTGCTACCCCTGAGCCCATTGTTGCAGCCACTGTGTCAATCCATCTCGTTGAGGGTCTTCCCCTTTTTCATTGACCCTCCACTTTACCAAGTATGATATCCTTCTCCAGGGAATGGTTCCTTCTGACAACATGACCAAAGTAGGTGAGTGAGAGGAAGTCTGGCCATTCTCGCTTCCAAGGAGCATTCCGGCTGCCCTTCTAGGACACATTTGTTAGTTCTTTTGGCAGTCTGTGGTACTCTCAGTATTTTTTGCCAGCATCACAACTCAAGAGCATCAATTCTTCTTCAGTCTTCCTTATTCAGTGTCCAGCTTTCACATGCATATGAGATGACTGAAAATACAATAGCTTGGGTCAGGCACACCTTAGTCTTCAAAGAAACATCTTTGCTTTTGAGTACTTGAAAGAGGTCTTTTGTAGCCAATTTGTCCAGTGCAATACATCATCTGATGTCTTGACTGCTGTTTCCATTGGTGTTGATTGTGGAACCAAGTAATATGAAATCTTTAACAACTTCATTTTTTTTCCTCCATTTATTGTGATGCTGCTTATTAGTCCAGTTGTGAGGATTTTTTCTTTATGTTGAGATGCAATCCATACTGCAGACTGAAGTCTTAATCTTCATCAGTAAGTGCTTCAAGTCCTCTTCACTTTCACAAGCAAGGCTGTGTCATCTGCATATCACAGATTGTTAATGAGTCTTCCTCCAATCTTGATGCCACACTCTTCTTCATATAGTCTAGCTTCTCAGATTATTTGTTCAGCATACAGATTGAATAATAAGTATAGTGAAAAGATACAAACATGACACACTCCCTCCCTGATTTTATACCATACAGTATCCCCTTATTTTGTTTGAACAACAGCCTCCTGGTCTATGTACAGGTTCCTC